TCGGGATATACTGTTGCATTATAAGAGCAGAAGGCATATCTTCATGATGTAAAAAATACAAAGCATATGTTTTTATACACTCATACACGTGTGTGTGTGTGTGTGTGTGTATATGCACATATGTGTGTGAATATAATGTGTGTGTGTGTGTGTGTGTGTGTGTGTGTGTGTGTGTTAAATAAACTTTTTTTTTCCTCAAGGTGACTAAGTTTTCAAGTTCATATTTTTTTCTCCCAGTATAATGTCTATACCGAAATCTTTCAAAATATATAGGCCAAACTTATAAAAAAAATAAACCCACCCTGAAACACATTTTAAATATTTAAATATTTTATTTTTTTTCAACACTGGTCAAGTGACAAATTCACATGTGTCCACACATTTGTTAGAAAGACATTTAGACATCCATTACAATCAACACGTAAACGAAACATTCCTTCATATCAATAATAGCACATTCCCGGATAAACAGTGGTTTGTATAATAAAGGACAATAAAAGTTCGCATATTGTAAACATTTTAGTGTAGTCTAAATTAGTTATTCTCTAATCAATGTGTTTATAAATAGCATAAGCCCAGAGCCGTTAATAAAGCGGCATATTAACATTCATTCATCTGGAAATTCACTGATTCATTTTACCATATCGACTTCAATGGAAAATGAAAATTGCAAAATAAAAACTATAAAATTAGCGTATTAATAAATAATGGACAACATTAATTTACGGCAAGCGCTGTATTAAACGTGTGTTCTAGGTCTTGTCATTTTTCTGAAGTGGTCCATGACGACCAGAATGTCCTGGCGCACAGTTTCCCACGCGCAGCAGCTAAAATTCTGTCGGAAAGAAAAGTCACACAGTTAATCAATGTAGATTTGAATTATGAAGGTATGAACACATTCTAAACGTTTTCTTTTTTTGGTATCGTTTGCCGAGTTTTCACCTGCTGTGTGAGAAACTGATCGAGCTTCTTGAAGTTCTCCACCAACGTCTCAAGTGCAGAGCTCATCACCGGGACCTAGATAAACGATAACGATTAACGTCCAAAATTGTAAATAATGAAAGTGAATGTTGACTCAGCCCAACTGCTGACTTACGAAATGTGATTTAGCTTGTCGGTTGAGGTGTTCCATTAGATCTTGGAATGCATTGTTTTTCCAGTGGCAGTGGGTCCTGTTCTTTTTGAAGAGCTCAGAGATAGAGTTATATGATATCTTCAGTGCCTGAGATATTTCTTGTTTCTGTCCAAGTGGAAAAAAAAGATCAAACATCCATTGCCAAAACAAAACAAAACGGTATAACACCAACTGTGCTAAATATTTCCGGAGATCAACCTCACTGCAGAGTGACAGAATGACACGCCTGAACTAATCAAGTTATTTGAAATCACTTGAAAGCAAGCATTTAGATTTGAATGAGGCTGCAACTAAAAAAAGAATGTAACATTTCTGTGTCCTGTATTTTTTTATATTGTTACCTACCTTTTTGGGAAGACTCGTGAACCGATCAGACATCGCTTTTTCCACTTCATCCGGACATGCTTTATGGCCCTTTGAGAGAGAGAGAAAAATGTTGACGTTTTTTAGCCATTAGATACATAGAGGCTATTACGTATTGCGGCCACGCTGTTGTCAATATTAAACCATTAAGGTTTGATGAACAATGAACAATATCATAAGGTAACACTTACAATTCTAGGCACTACCATTATGAGTAGGCCTATATATTAATCTTAATATTTATACTAATACATTAATATTTTAACATTCAAGTTGTTGTATGAATTAACATTAATACAATTAACAATGAACAGCAATATATTTCTAATTTAAAATGAACCTAGATTATGTAAAATTGTTTGCCAATTCGTGATACCTTGTGTTAATCCAGCAACTTTCCTCTAATAAATCTAGGCTATAGTAAATATTTATTAATAGATTAATGTTCCATAGCACACTGTTGTAGAGTGCTTAACACATTTTTAAATAACAGACAGACAGACAGACAGTTTAGATTAGTCTCACCAATGCATGCAGAAGTCTACTTGTTTGAAAAATGTCTCTTCTCTCCTCCTGAATAAAGGATTCTGCAAATAGGGACGGAGACATGACAATCCACAAAAAATACAAAAAAGTTCTCATTGTGGTTTTGTATTGACAGCTACAGTGCAGAGCTACGATTCAAACGAGATGACTACTAGGATATGGATACTATCTTATGGCAAAGGCTCTGGCTATATATAATGCTCTCCAAAGAAAGAAATTACCCTACTGAATTTGCATTCCCTTCAGCAGGTGACAGCGCGGGAAGCCCAGCGGTATTAAAATTGGAAGTTTCAGAAGGAGAAAATGAAAGAATCACGTGCTTCTGTGTGTCCTGGTGGGCGTTCTTTTTCTCACATTGAAAACGCAATGAGATGGATAGGATGGCACTAGCGCAGATTACTCATCTTGAAAACACAGTGAATGAGAGTAAAACTGGGACTTTCATCCACTATCACTATGTAGACGCAATGACATAATAAGAAGTGTGATGTCAATACTTAGGAGACCAATGAATATTATTAATTTTTATAACCTATTATTTACGTTGTCAAGACGTTATCTGTAGCCTATCTTTTGTTCTGTCTTTCTGTTTGCGTTATAGCCTATACGCAAAAATTAATTTTAAAGCACGATTTAAAAACAGCTGTATGTGTTTTTGTTTAGAATGATATCATCAACCCGTTTGTGCAAGGTGATGACACAACTGGAGCGGGTGGTAATTCCTCATTGTTACAGGGCACTGTTTACATACAGAGCATTTCACTTTCAGTTTCCACAATGACCAGTATACGCTCTCCCGTAGAATTCCTTTAGCATTTCCACACGAGCCGCGTATTATGACGCAATTACTACCGAAAATGATATATAGGCCTAGCCTACATTTGTTAGATAAATAAATAAATAGATAAATAGTAGCTACAGGCTAAAGGCGAGAATAAATGTTGTCTACATAAAAAACAAATAAATAAAATACCAGTGAAAAAGGAAAATGTAAGCACTTTTTTTTTGTATTTTTCTAAATGTAGCATAAGAATCTTTGATTGGGATTTTGGAATGGGATTTTTCAGTTCAGAGGAAAATTAGTTAATTACTTGTATCTTTCGTTGTCCTGTCTGGAAATTCATTCCAAAATCCCAATCAAAGATTCTTATGCTACATTTAGAAAAAAAAAACAACAAAAAAAGTACCATTCATCTTGAAGGGCCAAAACATTGTTGCTCTTTCTAATAATATTCAAAATACATAATAATAAATAATGCATGAAGAAATGTTGGCCTCAATATGATAAGCTATTAAATGGTGTTATATGGCAACATTGAAATAATGAATTACAAATTAAAATGTTCTAATATTTAATGTAACGCAGAGTATCTTTACAAAATCTAAAAGATGATAATTAATTTTATGATACTTTAAATACCAATATTGTGATAAAACCAAAAGGTAATCCATGGAATAAGCAATTGTTTTTATTTAACACAGACCTACATACGACACCCAATAACACTATATACACAATACACTCTGAAAACATACAGCTTGTTTTAATTACGTCCTGATTCTAAGTAGAACTCCGACAGCACTATTTCAGCATTTATGTATCATATCTAAAATCATTACCTTTTATTACCCCCGCGTTATTGCAAAGCTCAGTCGGTAGGTGGCAGCGTAAAATCGCTGTCTTGATTAAACAATAACTGTCAGATTATTGCCTTTACATTTTACATACAAGGTTTGTGCTCACGAGAAACAGTGTTTTATTTAGGTAGTTACATAAAAACCTATCTACACCTAGGCTATTTCTCTTTTGTATTAACTGTCCTGTAACACTGTATAGCTTGATATAAATTGACAAATGTTACCCTGGAGTACAAAACCAGTCTTAAGTCGCTGGGGTATATTTGTAGCAATAGCCAAAAATACATTGTATGGGTCAAAATTATCGACTTTTCTTTTATGCCAAAAAATCATTAGATTAGGATATTAAGTAAAGGTCATGTTCCATGAAGATATTCTGTAAATTTCCTATACGGTAAATATATAAAAACTTCAGTTTTGATTAGTAATATGCATTGCTAAGGACTTTATTTGGACAACTTTAAAGGCGATTTTCTCAATATTTGGATTTTTTTGCACCCTCAGATTCCAGATTTTCAAATAGTTGTATTTCGGTCATGTTCTACCAAACCAGACATCAATGGAAAGCTTATTTATTCAGCTTTCGGATGATGTATAAATCTCAATTTCGAAAAACTGACACTTAAGACTTGTTTTGTGGTCAGGGTCACAAATAAGAAACAAGTTTAGCGTAAAAGTTTATCTCGTGCACTGTTTGCTTGGTCTAGTTTGTGCAATAGACTGAGGGGCAAAGGGTAGCCATACTTCAGCCTGAAAAATGTTGTTTTGCTAAATTACAAAATCAGTCTGCATTCAATCTGCCATTCTACCTCAAGTGAACAAAAAAATGGCATTCACAGATACAAATTACTGAGACATGTTCACAGGGGTGCCGCTAGCAATTTCGGGCCCTATGAAAAAATGAGGTTGGGCCCCCTACCGCACCAAACATACACTATATTGCCCAAAGTATTGGGACCCCCCCTTCTAATGAACAGGTTTGACTACTTTAGTAATTTCCACGAGTACAAATTTTAATGTTTAAATGATATTCTAGGGCAGTGGTTTTCAATCCTGGTCCTGGGGACCCACCGCTCCGCACATTTTGCATGTCTCCCTTATTTAACACACCTGATTCAGATCATCAGCTCATTAGGAGAGAGATCCATGAACTGCGCTGTGTGTCAGATAAGAGAGACATACAAAATGTGCAGAGTGGTGGGTCCCCAGGACCAGGATTGAAAACCACTGTTCTAGGGAAATTGTGTACTTCTAATTTTATAGCAACAGTTTCAACAGGACCCTCTTCTATTCTAACATGACAATGCCTCTGTGTATAAGGCAAGGGAAAAAAAAGTCCTAATCCCAGCTGAACACCTCTGGTGTGACTTTAAATGCAGACCTTGAGTCAAAAACTCATCACCAAACACCAATGACTTGTACAAACATATGGACAAATGTATTGGGACACCCCCTTCTTTAGAACAGAAAAAGGCACTTCCAAAACTGTGGCAACAAAGATGGAAACATAATTAATGTATTGAAAAATTTTATTTCTAGTTTTGGAAGCGTCTAAAATGATTGTACGCATATGTAAAAGTCATTGGTGTTTGGTGATGAGTTTTTTTTTGTTTTATTGAGTTTTCCCAATACTTTGGGCAATATAGTGTATGTTTGGTGCGGTAGGGGGCCCAACCTCATATTCTTTCACAGGGCCCAATTTTTTTTACCTTGCCTTATACACAGAGGCATTGTCGTGTTAGAATAGAAAAGGGTCCCGTTCAAACTATTGGTATAAAATTAGTAGCACACAATTCCCTGAATATCATTATATGCTTAAACATTAAGATTTGTACTCATGTAAATTACTAAAGTAGTCAAACCTGTTCATTAGAAGGGGGTGTCCCAATACTTTTGGCAATATAGTGTACAAGACAACCTAGCTATTCAAAATATTCATCTGCAATTTAATAATACTGACCTATTACTTTTGCTATTGCTTTTGACCATTAGGTATCAGTAACATAATTCATTCAGAAACTGTTTTATGGACATAGACTTTCTGTACAACACTATTCTGCTGATATGGAATGAGTTTGACTACTTAATCAGTTATATTAATAGAAATGCTTCACTGGGGCAAACAAAAAAATACTAAAATAATAAATAGATACCCCATAGCAGCACTTCCAGCAGTATCCAACATTTCTCAATCATGATCTTACTCCGCTAAATGTGATTATTAGCTTAACAGCTGTATTCCTTGTTTGCTAGCTACCTATGCACATACAGCATACAATGTTAAAAATGTTCTACATTATGAACCTTAACCCAAAAACCTGTAGTTTCATACATTGTAGATAACTGTGTCCCTGCCGCCTGTGGAAACCCAACTAAATATTTTTTTTTAAACAGTGCAGTGTTTCCCCTGTACGGTGACGCATTGCTGCCGCACACATATTTTTTTTTTCACTCAGTTATGTCGTTTTAACGACATCTTTTCTCGTTAAAACGACATCTTTTCTCGTAATAACGACATCTTTTCTCGTTAAAACGACATCTTTTCTCGTTAAAACGACATCTTTTCTCGTAATAACGACATCTTTTCTCGTTAAAACGACATCTTTTCTCGTAATAACGACATCTTTTCTCGTTAAAACGACATCTTTTTCTATACCTTGTTCTTTTATTAAACAAACTAAATAGCCTTATGTTATTTATCTTATTTACAGTTCCGCCCCGCGCGCGCGCGCACACACACACGTGCGCGCATACACAAGTGAGCACACTCCCACTAGTATTTGTAAATATTAAGCCGCAAAACGACTATTTAAATATTAATTCTGCGTGTCTCTGTGCTAATGAATGGCGCAGACGCGCGGTTTTGTTTACCACTGGTACTGAAGGCGCTTGATGCTTGCGGTGATATTAGCGTCTGCCATCTCACTAAATGAGGACATAAATACATGAACAACATCTCCAGAACTACTCTTGAGAGTCACTTCATGAGCATTTGACCGTTTCATTTGAGTAAAACTATCCTCATATCATATACACAGAAATGTAAACGTATTCACGGCAACCCGTCAAAATAAAAGTTCGGTTTAACTTGAGGGCATTGCAGCAGAAATATGTTACTATTGTTCCGTAGAATGTATGTAATAGGCTGCTACTACTACTACTAAAATTATTAAAACCTTATTTTTAAGGAATAATCATACAATATTTATTCAGTGTTTTAATTGTAATATTAAATTACCTTTATTTTCCAAAAAAAAAAGTGTTTAATTTTCATTACTTAAAAGATAGATTTAATTAATGTTTTATGCCTTAAAAATGTAAATACACAACACAGAATTTCTGAGCAAAAATCATAAGGCTATTGTAAGAATAAATGAAACTTGTTTTTATGCTTTCAAATAATTAGACATGCTGAAACAGAATTAACAATAAAACATAAGGTTGGAAAAAATAAAACATTTCATAGGGCCCTAAACATGTAATTTTTGTTAAACTTTTAATAAATTGATGTTAAATTGTTTAAGTTTCATGATTTTAATTAATTAGACATGCTTTTTGATTAATACAATTTAAATTTAACCATTAAAAAGGAGTCCAGAAATAAAAAAAAATTATTTCAAAGCTATAAACCTAGGGGAACACTGCAGTGGATGAGTAATTCACTCCTTGATTTGCTTAATAAAAGCCTCCTTTGAGATCGTTTTGACAGACATGTTTATTGTGTGTTATTTTCAATGAGTTTATTGTGGCAAAATAGAAGCGCAGCCGTAATTTGCGTGCAGTGTATCTGGTTGCCATGACAACCTCACATGCTTCCTGCTGCTGCTCTATGTAATCAGAGTGTGAATTTGTAGATTTTCTACAGCAAAACTAAAATGTGTTTAAAAGTGCGACTGACCAAATTAGAATCGTCCTTAGAATCGTCCTAACTCCCCCCCCCTTAGCGACGCCCCTGGATGTTCATACTTGTTCAAGAGTTCAGCAGAGTTGCACACCACCTACAGTACCTTTGTGATGTGCCTGTATGTCTCAGTCATAACATATGCACAGTCCAAATCTCATACATTGACATACTTGCAACCACGCTACCTGTCCTCTACACCAGAGTGTGATTGGGGCAAGGACATGTGGATCCTCCGCAGGAAATGAGATAGTTTGAGAAGAGGAAACTTTATGTGGCTGGCTTACTGAACAGGAAAGAGGGGGTTTCCTTCCAGAGGATGAGGAAGAGGGAGGACTGCAGGGAGACAGAAAGACAGACATGTGAATGTTTAGGCCTCGACGGGGACAGTGTCAAATATATCACTGAGCACTTTCCAATAAAATTATGGTTTTCTAGCTGTTTTGTAAATGTTTTTTTTTTTAAATATGGTTATTCGTAATTGTAATAATAGTGTATAAAAATTGGTTTTGGTTGCATAATAAGTAATAGCCTACATTTTATAATAATACATTTTGATAGAGAACATTATTTTAGTTTAAATTGTTGTATCAGTTTTGAATAGAAAAACAATTACTGCTTTCCCACGTAACACAAATGATGTCTCACAGTTATTTCCGAGGAATAGAAAATGTATCAACTATTTGACAGACGTTACTAAATCAAACCTGTCTTAGCGTCAAAGTGACCCTTAAGCTCTGTAAAAATGTGTCAGAGGAGAGGCCCAGTCGGAAACGATCTGTCTGCAAATCATTTTGCTCATTTAGGTTAGAAAATTTAGAAAAGTTGCGCAAACAGGACCTTAAGTATTACGTACTAGCAAATTTATAAAAGGAAATCCATTTAGAAAAGTGTTGCGCAAGCAGTACATCATTTTGAACAAAGAAATCTGAGGAAACTATAGCAAGCATAGCCATTGATGTAGCATTCGACACACTCCATGTTTACAACCATGCTAAATGCACCATGTGACGTTAAACTGTCCATTATGTGTGCACTAAACGATGAGTAACTAGAACATTATTTTATGACCTAACTGCAGATGATTCATCTCTTTATCCTAAAAATATTAATGTAATGTAATATTAACCTTTTATTCCAGGACAGCATTCCAAGAGCATGCCCAAATGGGACATCACTGAAAGTACAGAGTCCAAAGGCATCAGTAAATCTTCTCTTGCCCCACCCAGAAAACATGCTTGCTTTTTTTCTGGGGTGGGGCATGTTGTCCTGCTCACAAATCTGAGGGCGATTACTAACCTCTTGGTTCCTGTTTAACCCTCAGTGCTCAGTACGAGATTTCTTAGTAATTATATTCAGTGGTAGTTCAGTTTTGTGCAGCCTAAAAGTGATCAGAGGTTGTGCAAACTGGAAGGGAGGGAAGAAACCACCAGAGCCCAAATGGGTGTGAATCAACCACTGGGTGTTATTCATAGAAACTGCATGGAGAGCTCTTGAAATATAGTTGATGTTTTTCATTCAGTGGCGCATGAGACTAAAGGGAATCTCTCTGAGATTTAGGCTAGCCTAAAGATACCTTTTTACTGCTCACTAGGAGCGAAAAGATGTCAAGAAATGTGTACTCACGTGAGTGAACAGCGATGAAAGCAGAACTTTCTTTTTGCAGGTGAGAAAACTATTTGCAAGTTCCTGTCAGTTGTAGTCTCGGTCATGTGTTCCTATCTGCTGGTTTTGTTAATTGATTTCACCCACCAACTTTCCGGTGACCTGATTTGTTGATGAGGCGCAACACAGCTTGAACCACATGGTAACATTGCAGAAAATGAGACAGATGCACCTATTTGATAAGGAACATCATCTTGTCAGAGTTAACATAGGAATGCTTTATTGCTTTTGTGGAATCGCAATTGGTTAATAATTTTGTGAGGATTTTCTTCCTAATGATTCAGTTGAACCATACCCTCATCTCTCTTTCTCTCTCTCTTCCTGTTGCTAACTGTCTCACTCTTCAGAAGCTGTGATGTGTGTGCTGGAACAGGAAATGAATGCAGACAGAGGAGGCAGGCAAGCTGAAACTGGCACAAAGCTCTAGCGTGTATACACACCCGCCCACAATACATACACACACACACACACACACACACACACTGGCCCTGAGCAACAACTGTCAGAGCTGGAACTTTGAACTATAGGTGGAACGACAGAGCGGTGGTGGCGAAAGACTGAGCCTGTCTAAGACATTAGGTGGACTGAGGAAGGAAAAGAGATTTTAAAGAAAAAAGAAGACCAACAGGAGACAGATCTTACAAATGTAACTTGAAGAAGAAGAAGAGAGAGAAACAAAGGTGTGGAGAAAATGGTGTGCCGTTCCTGCCTCAGCAGGTAAACTTCTGAGTACTAATTTGGTTACTTGAGTTGTACATAATATTCATTCTGTCTTGAGGTACTTTGCATTTTATTTTTAGCCTTATGACTTTTCCTTAAAGTTAGAGATACCTCTAACAGCTACCTTCCTTTTTCCTGTCGTGTTGCATGACAGATAGCTATCTGTGCACATAAATAGCAGCTTGTTGCTGTTTACAAAGAAAAGGTGAAGTGAGCCATCTTACGCTGTGATGTGAGACCAGTAAATCAGTGCATACTGTAAGCAACTCTTGATTTTTTTGTCACTTTATGTTTGAGTTTTGTTATATGCCGATGTCAGAAATTGATCACCACTATCACCATGAAATGAAGATTTAAGATATTGTGATGCCAGTATTCAGCTTCATATGCTCAATGGAACCTGTGAAGAAAGATAAGAATCATTTTAATCTATTTTAAGTGTGTACAAACAAGGTATTCCCTTTGAGAGGATATGTTTTAGACATTTTTTGTTGTTGTTGTGTAAACTGCACAGTGAGTAAGAGTGCTCTTTCTGCATTCCTGAGGTGACTGGGCTGGTGGGTGTGGGTGTGGAGGAAAACTGGAACACCGCAGATCTGGTACAGCTATCCGAGTACACTGCACATTCAGAGGAGAATCTCATTTCTCCCTCAGGTCTTCGCTTTGCGCACATCTCAGAATAACGAATAACCCTTCTGACTTTCTGAGGCCATTGCTTTGTGTGGGTTAGAATCTGAAAGCACGGCAGGTTTTGTTTGGACATTTTAACTGTACACATCTGAGATTGGCCAACTGGTTAACTTTAGAAAATTCTGTCATTTACTCACCGTTCTTCCTTTCATGGGACACAAAAGGTGATGTGAGAGAATGTTCAGGCTTTTCTTTTCCTTACAACAACAGCAGATCGATTAGTAGCCCAAATAGATTGAAAAAGCATTGTAAAAAAGTAGTCCAGTCCATATGAATTATTCACTATATTCCAAGTCTTCTGAAATTTTACTAGCTATACATGAATCGACCAAAAAATAAAGGTTCCTTATTGGCATCAATAGTCCCATGAAGAACCTTTAACATCCATGGGACCTTTTCAATGCACAAAAGGTTCTTTAGATTATTTGAATTTTCTTCACACTAAGAAAATTTTGTGGGAACCTAAAATGGTTCTTCTAAGGCATTACTGCAAAATCCCCTTTTTGGAACCTTTATTTTTAAGTGAAAAGTTGTTTGTTGCTGAATATCTCCTCCGCTTTCATCTTGTTGATTTCCATCACGTTTTATGCAGACAATGAAGTTGGAGATCACTGACATCAAACCTGGTGCATGTTTGAATGCCCACATGCACAAATTAGATTCGATCATTTTCAACAAAAAACAAGTTAAGGCTGGAATACACTACACGACTTTTAAAATCTGAAAAGATTTTAAAACGTTAGGCAATGCCGACTTTGTAAATAGTCAGAGAGGAAAACTGGCCATCATACACATTTCACTACCAGACTTACTAAATAGCATTACTATTACTAAATTTGCTTACTAAATTCCTTCCGATCACAACAAACTCACACAGAAATGTGCGCAATGTTGCTAGGCATTGCTAATGAAAACGTTTTCTGAAATCGTCTGAAAATATCAAACATGTTTAAAATCCTCAGACTGGATGGAATCAGACTTGGACGTTAAAAAACTATGTGACCATCATACACGACATGACTTTCTATGTAATCTGTCAACTCAAATCTGCAGACTGGCTCTGATTTTCTGCAACTAGTGTCAACTTATCCAAACTGTAAATTGGGTGAAAATGGGGGCAAAAGGTGTGCTGCACCAATATACCCAAACTCGCTAGTTCAAACTTATGCACCCTCCAGAAGCTTGCCTTGTGGTGCCATGCAAAGAGGCACAAAACGGACCTTTTCCTGGACTTTTCCCAGCTGCTCTTAAAAATGAAGGTGCTTCATGATGCCATAGAAGAACCTTTTTGTCTGAATTGAAAGAGCCTTTGACTGAATGGTTCTTTGTGGAACCAAAAATGGTTCTTCTATGGCATCGCAGTGAAGAACCTTTTAAGCACCTTTATTACCTGCCTATCTCAATTCGAGCAGCTGAGTCTAATTTAAAAAAAAAAAAAAACGTCTAAAGACACATCTTTTTCTCTAGCACTTGACCAATTAATACTAGCACTTGCCTATTCTATTCTATTCTAAATAAAAAAAACCTAGCTATGTGTACTGTGCTAGACTAACTGAGACTTGTCACAGCACTTGTATACAGTTGCTCTCTCGTTGGTCTGATTGCTTCTATTGCTCTCCTCATTCGCTTTGGATAAAAGCGTCTGCTAAATGATTAAATGTAAATGTAGTATATATTCCAGCCAGTCTGTACATCACACAAATCGTTAACTATATGGTTGAACAATTCTTTTAACATTGCATATGTAACAAGGAAAAGGAAGGGAAAACAGTTTTAACATAGAATTTCCTGTTCTTGTATTTCTTTGTTCTGTATACCTGACAGGCTATGAAAGACATACAAAGACTATTCAAAACATAATAGGGATGCTGAAGACCTTGGGCTGACTACATGTGACAGGAGATAATATGAAGTGGTTAGGACAGCCCTAAATCTAATTCTAAAAATGGTTGCTGGGGTGAGTGAACACATCACATAAAGACCCATTTCCCCCCGCTCTGAACATCCTGTAAGAGAACCAGACAGCACAGCAAGGTCAAAGCAAGCCAGGCTAGAGAAAAACAAGGAGTTTCCGTGTTTAAACAGTGTCTAAATGGGAACGGCCTCCTCCAATTGTTCTACGCTAACAGCCGTTTTCAACTGGAAGGACACCCCCTCCCCCCCCGAATACAGCTTGAGCAGATTCCAAGGTGATTTCTTTTTAAACTCCTCCAACATGATGAATCACGCATTGATGTTTCTCTCATTTTTGCTCCGCTGCTGTTCAACTCCTGGCTCAAAAGTTGTCAAACAGGTTCTGGCTCCCCGTTTCAAAGCTGAACTGTTTGTGAAATACATTAAGTAACCAGTCTGAGATCTAAGTTGACATACAGTAACTGCAAATCAGTATGGAGAAGATGTGTTCTCGGAATCAAATGTATAACGGTGATTTTGGCCTCTTCCTTCTTGGATTATGCAATGTCCTCCCCTTTGGTAGACCACAAGGCCTCCTTTCGATCCATTGCCACCCCTTGGTTTATGAAGCGAGAAGGTGGTCTGGCCTTCTGTTTACTTCCCTATTTAAGAAAAGACTGCTGTGTTTGTCTACAAACTCTCTTGGTAAGATGTGCAAGGGTGGTGTTTCTTCGTCTCGTCTGACTCTCAGGAGACTTGTCTTGACTTGTTAAAAAACAGCAGCTGATGTTGTTTTGGCAAGAGGCTGATAAAGTCTACTACAGACTACAGATTTTTCTCCTTTCATATGGCTAAGAGCCAAACTTGATTTTGCCTTATTTTTTCATTGTAAGGCAATCGATTTCCAGTTTCCAATGGTGTGATGCAGGATCTGTTAAACTAGTTATTAAATTCATCTTTCTGTGACACATAAATGACAAATCAGTTCGTAAAATATAATTGTTTCAATTTACATTACAGTGGCTGTAAGGGTGCAAACTGCTCACATAAAGCCTAAAGAGTGCTTTACATATCTAACAAATGAACTTTTGAGAGTTTCTTGGACATTGTAAATTTGAAAAATTGGTTTCCTTTTAATTCATGAGTTGGAATATGAACTGAACTGTCCCATATGAAGTTGGAATTTGAATGATGAAATGCATAAACTAAATACAAATGTATCCATCACAAACATCATAGCTTTTTAAACAAAAACAACACAAAAAAAAACTTTAAAATCCCAACTACTTCTATCTGTCACTCACTCTCATAAGATAAAGACATCTGGGGCCTCATTTATCAACAGTGCGTACGCACAGATGTGTGCGTAATGAGTGCATAAGAACAATTTCACGCAAAGTGTACCAACTTGTACTTATACGTAGGAATGTGTGTAAATATAAGCACAACTGTGAGCATGCTTACGCAGAGACTCTAGTGGTAGAATGGCGATACTACAAAAAGAAAGTGCAGCTGCGTGTTTCCTGTGTCCTTTAATTGCAAATACTCAGTGTTGCGTTTGATAAGGATCACACTGACACAGCGAGTAACATCAGGGAAAACAGAGAGTCCAGGAAGTTAATTATGACTTGAGAGGTCACAGAGCCGGTGGCAATGAGCTCAGGCCATTTCGAATGCAGGTCATAGACAACCACTAGGAAGCGTTGGTGATGAGGAACTCCCTGTATCTCACCACATATGTCCAGCTGCAGGTGGTCCCAGGGCTGCGATGGCCAAGCAAGAGTTTGTAAGGGAGGGGGAGCCTGGTGACCAGTCTTACCGCTCAAGAGACAGGCAGCACAGTCTTTCACCAGGGCCTCGATGTCTTTATCTATCCCTGGCCACCAAACCCGGTCTCTGCAGCGCTGCTTCAACTTCACAATACCCAGGTGGCCCTCGTGAGCCATTGCCAAGACACGTGCACGTAGGGTGCTGGGGATGACTGTGCAGAGGCCGCGTGCCACACAGGTGTCGTTCCAGCAGGACAGCTCCTGCTTTATTCTG